CTTCATTCACAATAATTGTTACACTGATAATAAATACAGTCCTTTCAAGGTAAACTTTCACTTAAGTTTTACATTATCCCAGGTGTACATGTATATAGTGGAATTTAATTTTATTCCCAATGAACAATTATTTGGTTTTGATAAAACGTATTTTGCTGTTGTTTTTTATGTATCATACTATAAATCAATCATTTATTGACCCCAGGTCCTTTATAAAAATTTTTCATGGTAGGGGTTTTTTTAAACTTTTATCTAAATTTTTCCGGTTTTAAAGTGGCTTTTAATTTTTCACAAAATAAACCCTTTTTAAAACCCGGGCTTAACTTTTTGTGTGTCTTAAAAACAAGTGTATTTTTAAAAATGACTAAAAATTGTTATAAATTATTCCAGTCGTTTATTGCGTTAGATCGTCGTTAGATGCCCCTTAAAGAGATCCCTTTATAGAAAGAATTTTTTCTACTTTCTTTTTATACTCGTCTTTTCCTTTTTCAATATTCGGGTCGCTGTTGGGTTAAGTTTAAAAATTTGTGAAATGATCAAAAAATTTTTACAAAAAAAGGGGGAAAATTTTGTGATTAACGACCGTGTACTTGTATATACAGAAAACTCGACTCGGATGTTTAAAACTTTTATCGTTGTAATTTTGATACTATTGTTAAATACTATCTATTTGTTACTTACTGTCCGATATTTAAGAGTAAATTTTGACGACAGATAAAGGGAAATATAAATATTTGATATTATTTAAAGAATTTAAAGTATTTGTTAATGTTTATTTACAGTTTTAATGTTCATAAGGAGATAAAGATATTCAAAATTCTTTGCAACATTTTTTTTATTATTTTTCATTTTTTGCTTTAGCAACTGTGCAGATGTTATGTTATTTGCTTGAAATGAAATAAGAGAAAAATTGATGTAGTTCCTTTGTGAAAATCCCAATCAGCACCGCAGAGTCATTTCTCTTCTCTTAATTTCTTGCTCTTTACAGTGATGCTAGAAAACCCTGTCTTACATACCTAAATCTTACCCCAAGACCAAATTTTCAATGCTGCTCATTTTAGATAATTTGGTCCCCTCTGCTGTAGGTTCAAATCCCACAGAGGACTCTAGATTCTTTCACATATCTAGCTAAATGCTAACAATTAAATATAAAGAAGAACATGTAGTGCACGGTTTGGCACTAAATAAAGATTCACAGTTTATTTCATTATAATTCAACCTGTTGAGTAATAATTCAACTTGCTGTATTACTCCAAAAAGAGTATTAATACTGCATGTACGTGTTTGTGTGGCTTATCTGTTAATATTTTTTTTTTCCAAAAAGAATGAAACTTATGTCATACATATCTCCTATTTAATTCAAAATAACATAAACAAGAGGGCCATGATGGCCCTGAGGTCGCTCACCTGTATATAGGCCCCCCACCCCCGGGCCAATTTTTACCCAAGGGCTTTTATTTGTTTATTTGAACAGACTTGGTAGACACCCATAAGAAGATGTTTCATGCTAAACATCTAAGTTCTAGCTCATTGGCATTTTTTAAAAGAAGATTTTTAAAGTTTTTTACTATACCACATATAGTTAAAAAAAATGTCACCCCTGGGGCAGGGCCAGTTTGACCCCGGGCATTATTTTAACCAAACTTTGTAGATATATTACTTAAAGATGTTTCATGCTTAAATCTAAAACTCTAGCTATTTGGGTTTTTTCCAAAGAAGATTTTTAAGTTTTTGCTATACTAACATATAAGGAAAATCAATTACCCCCCCCCCCCCCCCCCCCCCCCGGCGGGCCAGTTTTGACCCCAGGGCTTTTATTTGAACATACTTGGTAGACACCATTAGAAACATGTTTCATGCTAAATATCTTAGCTCCTAGCTCTTTGAGTTCTTTAAAAGAATATTTTTTAAGTTTTTACTATATGCATATAGGGAAAATCAATGACCCCCCGGGGCGGGGCAATTTGAACCCAGAGCTTTTATTTGAACACACTTGGTAGACACTCATTAGAAGATGTTTCATGCTAAATATCTTAGCTCTAGCTCTTTGGGTTCTTTAAAAGAAGATTTTTTTAAGTTTTTACTATATGCATCCTTAGGGAAAATCTATGACCCCCTGGGGCAGGGTCATTTTGACCCCAGGGCTTTTATTTGAACAAACTTGGTAGACATTCACTAGAAGATGTTTCATGCCAAATATCTAAGCTCTAGCTCTTATGGTTCTTTAAAAGAAGATTTTTAAGTTTTTTACCATTATGCATATAGGGAAAATCAATGACCCCCGGGGCGGGCCAATTTTGACCCCAGGGCTTTAATTTGAACAAACTTGGTAGACACTCACTAGAAGATGTTTCATGCTTAATATCTTAGCTCTAGCTCTTTGGGTTCTTTAAAAGAAAATTTTTTAAGTTTTTACTATATGCATATAGGGAAAATCTATGACCCCCTGGGCGGGGTCATTTTTGACCCCAGGGCTTTTATTTGAACAAACTTGGTAGACATTCACTAGAAGATATTTCATGTCAAATATCTAAGCTCTAGCTCTTATGGTTCTTTAAAAGAAGATTTTTTAAGTTTTTTACCATATGCATATAGGGAAAATCAATGACCCCCGGGGCGGGGCCAATTTTGACCCCAGGGCTTTAATTTGAACAAACTTGGTAGACACTCACTAGAAGATGTTTCATGCTTAATATCTTAGCTCTAGCTCTTTGGGTTCTTTAAAAGAAGATTTTTTAAGTTTTTACTATATGCATATAGGAAAATCAATGACCCCCCGGGGCGGGGCCAATTTTGACCCCAGAGCTTTTATTTGAACACACTTGGTAGACACTCATTAGAAGATGTTTCATGCTAAATATCTTAGCTCTAGCTCTTTGGGTTCTTTAAAAGAAGATTTTTTAAGTTTTTACTATATGCATATAGGGAAAATCTATGACCCCCCTGGGCAGGGTCAATTTTGACCCCAGGGCTTTTATTTGAACAAACTTGGTAGACATTCACTAGAAGATGTTTCATGCCAAATATCTAAGCTCTAGCTCTTATGGTTCTTTAAAAGAAGATTTTTTAAGTTTTTACCATATGCATATAGGGAAAATCAATGACCCCCGGGGCGGGGCCAATTTTGACCCCAGGGCTTTAATTTGAACAAACTTGGTAGACACTCACTAGAAGATGTTTCATGCTTAATATCTTAGCTCTAGCTCTTTGGGTTCTTTAAAAGAAAATTTTTTAAGTTTTTACTATATGCATATTGGGAAAATCTATGACCCCCTGGGGCGGGGTCAATTTTGACCCCAGGGCTTTTATTTGAACAAACTTGGTAGACATTCACTAGAAGATGTTTCATGTCAAATATCTAAGCTCTAGCTCTTATGGTTCTTTAAAAGAAGATTTTTTAAGTTTTTACCATATGCATATAGGGAAAATCAATGACCCTCGGGGCGGGGCCAATTTTGACCCCAGGGCTTTAATTTGAACAAACTTGGTAGACACTCACTAGAAGATGTTTCATGCTTAATATCTTAGCTCTAGCTCTTTGGGTTCTTTAAAAGAAGATTTTTTAAGTTTTTACTATATGCATATAGGGAAAATCAATGACCCCCCGGGGCGGGGCCAATTTTGACCCCAGAGCTTTTATTTGAACACACTTGGTAGACACTCATTAGAAGATGTTTCATGCTAAATATCTTAGCTCTAGCTCTTTGGGTTCTTTAAAAGAAGATTTTTTAAGTTTTTACTATATGCATATAGGGAAAATCTATGACCCCCTGGGGCAGGGTCAATTTTGACCCCAGGGCTTTTATTTGAACAAACTTGGTAGACATTCACTTGAAGATGTTTCATGCCAAATATCTAAGCTCTAGCTCTTATGGTTCTTTAAAAGAAGATTTTTTAAGTTTTTACCATATGCATATAGGGAAAATCAATGACCCCCGGGGCGGGGCCAATTTTGACCCCAGGGCTTTAATTTGAACAAACTTGGTAGACACTCACTAGAAGATGTTTCATGCTTAATATCTTAGCTCTAGCTCTTTGGGTTCTTTAAAAGAAAATTTTTTAAGTTTTTACTATATGCATATTGGGAAAATCTATGACCCCCTGGGGCGGGGTCAATTTTGACCCCAGGGCTTTTATTTGAACAAACTTGGTAGACATTCACTAGAAGATGTTTCATGTCAAATATCTAAGCTCTAGCTCTTATGGTTCTTTAAAAGAAGATTTTTTAAGTTTTTACCATATGCATATAGGGAAAATCAATGACCCCCGGGGCGGGGCCAATTTTGACCCCAGGGCTTTAATTTGAACAAACTTGGTAGACACTCTCTAGAAGATGTTTCATGCTTAATATCTTAGCTCTAGCTCTTTGGGTTCTTTAAAAGAAGATTTTTTAAGTTTTTACTATATGCATATAGGGAAAATCAATGACCCCCTGGGTCGGGGCCAATTTTGACCCCAGGGCTTTTATTTGAACAAACTTGGTAGACATTCACTAGAAGATGTTTCATGCCAAATATCTAAGCTCTAGCTCTCACGGTTCTTTAAAAGAAGATTTTTTAAGTTTTTACTATATGCATATAGGGAAAATCAATGACCCCCAGGGGCGGGGCCAATTTTGACCCCAGGGCTCTTATTTGAACAAACTTGGTAGACACTCACTAGAAGATGTTTCAACCCAAATATCTAAGCTCTAGCTCTTATGGTTTTTTAAAAGAAGATATTTAAAGTTTTTTCTTTTGGTTGCCATGGCAACCAGAGTTCTGCATGGAATTAAATTCTTTGAACAATTTTTAAAGGTGACCACCAAAGGAACATTTCTGTGAAGTTTGGATGAAATTGGCTCAGTGGTTTATGAGGAGATGTCATTTAAAGCAAAAGTTTACGGACGGACGGACGGACGACGGACGGACGACGGACGGACGGACGCCGGACGAAAAGCGATCACAAAAGCTCACCCTGTCACTTTGTGACAGGTGAGCTAAAAAACAAAAGTAACAAACCTTGTTTAAAATGTATTAAGATCCTGTATTAATGTACCAAACTGATCATTTTCACTTCACTGCTCTTCTTCAATGATATAAATTAATCAGCAAATTTTTACTTTTTTTCGTCAAATCACACAAATTTCACAACTTTCAAGACTTTCCAGTACATAATATATGAGATTCCATACACCAAACCCTGAAAAAAAATGAATAAATTGAATTTTTTCTATTGGTATAAAGTTTTTGCGAATAACTAAATATTTATTTAGACTATTAACTAACATGGCTATCTATATAATGGAGAGAGTGATATTTAAACACATCTAATAATGAGATATATTTGCTAATGCTATGCTATACGATCTACAGTAAATATCCAAATGTTTATACTATATTGATGTCATGACATAACCTAAAGAGTACCATAACCCTTATAGGGTCATACTTTCATTTTAAACCATAAATACATGTACTAGCTTTGCTTAAAATCTAAATAATGCAGCTGGACATGTCGTGCTTCGTTTAAATCCATAACATTGGAAACATTGCTTAGTGAGAATGAAGTTCAGTGTACTAACTTGAAACATAACTTATAATTGTAAAATACCAAGACAATGCATTTTACTAGTTTTGACTTTTATAATATACAACCTTCTTCTTCAGAAATAAAATTGAAAACATTTGTTTATAACAACAAATAAAAGAGTCAACATCCGTTACAGCGATTTAATGTTGACATGACAGTGACTGTCATGTATCATATGTACTTTATGCTGCACTTTATATACATACATGTATCATATGTACTTTATGCTGCACTTTATATACATACATGTATCATATGTACTTTATGCTGCACTTTATATACATACATGTATCATATGTACTTTATGCTGCACTTTATATACATACATGTATCATATGTACTTTATGCTGCACTTTATATACATACATGTATCATATGTACTTTATGCTGCACTTTATATACATACATGTATCATATGTACTTTATGCTGCACTTTATATACATACATGTATCATATGTACTTTATGCTGCACTTTATATACATACAGAGTCTTTATAGATATAGTCAGTACGTCTTTAAAGAAATATAGTCTTTATATACATACAGAGTGTTTATAGATATATAATCTTCATATGACCATAGAATTTGGATTTCATGATCAATCAAAATGAAAGAGACCGAAGTACACTGTCCAGGAATCGAACCCGAATCGTCTGATTCACAGTCCAACACTGAGACTCCACCTATTGAGCTAACAGGATGGTTCACAAGATGTACCCTATATAAAATATTTTTCACTTTACATGGCATAAATGTGCTCACATTTAAACATTGATCCCTGAATGACATTTGATTTTAAAACCATAATAATCCTGTTGAGAAAAGTGTCGAAAAACAAAAGTTCTTCATGTAACGGAATATAGGTATCACAGGATCAAATTTCTCCTCCTGATATAGCGTTTTCTGACCCAATATTCACCTTGTTCGCGGTGTCTTTTGTACGTTCCTAGACATTTCTAACACCCTCTACAGAGGACATCACCTTTGATTTCATGCATTGTTCACTGAATGGAACTTTCTGTTTACATTTGAAGTTAAATCAGTACTTATAATGAAAACTTAAAAGTTTATTATTACACAAATTCACTTAAGACATCATCATTTTGCAAATTTATCTACTAAGTTACTAATTGTAATGTACTATATTCGTATCATAAAGATCACCTTTAAGTAAAACAATACATTGATATTATGATAACTGACTTTTACAGAAAAGAACTTGAATCAACTTAAAATGATTACAGAAATCCATACCTGTTAATAAAGATGAACAGCCATTTGCCCTTTTATTTCTAACATTACCAAAAAGCCAAAATGATAAAAAAAAACCTACAACCTACATTGTAATAATGTATTTCCGTTGATGTTTCATTTTCTATTTATTCCGAATCCTTATAAAATATGACTAATTCTTAAGGCGAAGGTGTGATTATCTATTAATTCAATTAAGTACACAAATATACAATTGTCCTTATATAAAAACACAAAAATAAAACCCCAATGATAACAAATACCAGTACATAAAAACCTAAAAACAAAAAGATTGCTGGATTTTAAATCACATACATATAAAGTTGGAGTGGCTACATTGTAGACACTTAAATTTAATATCAATACATTACATGGAGTTAAAAAATCTTCAGTCGATGGGTTGGTGCTATTGTGCCGTAACTTGACATGGCATAAAAGACCAAGTTACAACAGTATGTCGAAAAATCTTCTGGCACTGATATTATATGATACGGCTATGATTTATTCACCCAACGATTAAGATTTGCATGGGGCGTATTCCACCATTGGAGTACAATATACATCATAATTACCTTTTGTTACATTATTACAATAAAGAATTATATCAACAATCAATGTTTAAAAACCATGCCAGACAATAGTATTATGATAGTAGTTAACTAGTTATTGTCTCATCCTTTAAATAACAATATTGTATCATGTTATATTAATATCATTTTGCAATTTATTCATTCATTCAAATTGTTTGTTTTTCTGTTATTTTAAATGCCGATTTTAACACATGTTTTGGCCACACCCCAGACCCCAGTGGTAGATGCACCATACACATGCATGGTATTATTACCAATTAACTTGTCATTTTTACAAAAAAATAGACTTTTGCAGATGATGCCAATACTATTCATATATATTTTGCCATTCTCAAATTTTGTGATTTTCATAATTGCACTTGAATTGAGAAATTGTTGGTGCAGGCCACAGTTTTGTTGGAGACAGCTATATAGACCCCTTTACTGTAGAGGGTCCAGTACTCAAAGCAGAGTTGAATGTGAAGCCCCTTAAATGTTTTGTTTCAGCTGTGACATGTTTAAACTTGTAGTAAATATTTAATCTAAGGTAACATTAATTTCTTTTTTTCCAAAATCTACATAACCCTAAAAATATGGGTACTGCTAAAATGTTCCTAAGCTTTTTTATATTGCCGCAAAAAAAAACCACCACGCATATAATATAATTGGCACATACTCATCGTAACTTCAAGCACGCAATGTCATACTCAACCTGCCAGTCAAATTCAAATCCCACTGACTGACAATTTAAATCATCATGTCAGATGGCAAATTTATCTATATTATCTACAATAATCACTGGATTTACTTTAAAAATCTTTTTTTTATCAGCGCTATTTGTCATATCTGTTACTCATTGTTTTATAGTGCGCATAAACTGATTGCCAAAGTTGATAAAGCCTGTCCCATTCAATTTTTATGAAAAGAATTGAGTTAACGCCAAACATGGGTGTCACCTGAGCAAATTTTCCATTGTTAAACTATGTTGAAAAAAGAGTTCTGAAGTTATATTGTTAAAATTAATATGTGTAATAGTAGATTTCTTGTATTTGTTAAATGAACATTTAAAGAAAAGCTGCAGTCAACTATCAGTAACACAACAACTGATTATTTTAACAATAATTTCTTGCACACCCGGAAGTTTCAACTTGCTAATACCCATACTGAAGAATTCATCTGGCAAGAGGGGGTTGGGGAGGGCAGGCTGCTGATTTAAAAAAAAAAAATTTTACATTCAAATTTCTTACAATAAAGAAGTGACAAGTTCCTAAGACATGAAGCAATATATGATAAATCTAGTGCAGGAATTTAGCAGAAACTTAAAGGCAGTGCTTCGTGAAAAAAGCTTGTTATAAAGTTAATGAAAATTTTGAAGAAACAAAAAAGCTAAAAAAAAAAGTTTTTCTTTTTGAAAATATTGTTAAGTTGACAAATCATATGGTGTTTAATTTTGCCTAAATTTTATGCACTTTTAACTTGCAGACTTAACATATGATTTTACATATCAAAACATTAAATTTAGAAATGCCTGCCACAGAGCTAGGTAAAAATATGTTGATGTATTAGTTTATGTTACATTTTACATAATGCATACAAAAGTGTCTCCAAAATTGTGAGTAATAAATCTTATAATTATTATAAACTATATTTTTTTAATAATTATGTTCTTTTATCAAGTTTGATATTTTGAAAATTTGTTTATTCATCTAGTGCATTATAATTAAGTAATACATACCCATTAAAAGTATTGCCTTTTCAACATTAAATACAGGCCAAATAAGTACATTAAATTAATAGAATTGTAAAACAGATATTAAATTTATGGGAGAAGCATTAAAATTTATCACTTTAAATGCATTATCATAAAATAACTATAAAAATTGCCCTTACTTTATTTATCTTAAAGTAATACAGTCATTAAAAACCCTTTTGCAATTGTATAACAAAATTTAGATAACCTTTTTATCTTTTCAAGATCGCACTGTCAAATGTATAAACACAAAATTGAAATTCAGTTAAACAACAAAAGACTTGCGAAAATCCATCACATCACCTTTTGATGTCAAACGATCCCGTCTAAAACCCGTATCTGAAACCGTGAAAGTATTACATCACTAGAACGCTTTACTTTAGTTCAAGCCTTTTAAATAGTTGATAGTTATTTTAATGCAATCCAGGCATATAGTAGATTAAGAAGTAGATAAAAATCTATATCAAAGTATCTACCTCGGAAAACTTTGACAAGATGTTTTTAGATACATCACTTTTACAAAGAACCTTCTGTCATAACATTTAACACGTTCTTTATAATATAATTGATATTCTTCATTTGAATGTCATAACATTCCATTACGATTTAAATCCAACCCGACCTATATTTAATGCTTTCATCTTCATCTGTGTCAATTAAGTATTGAAGTAATTTTTAGAGAACTTTGTACCCCAAACTTGAGAAATGACCTGATTAACGATGGTCTGTTGATTGTATATGAAAATATTTAGTATTTTGACAATTCTTGCAGAATTATTATGTAACCCTAACAATTTCAAGATCTGAAACTTCTCCGAAACAATTGAAAAATTGACATACCTTGGTTCTTAATTGTAACTAATCATTATTTTCTATGTCAACTAATTCTAGCAATCAATTTACCTTGAATTCAATCAATCTTGAATTAATATAATAATCCAATGTGAGTACACTTTTACCTTTTTTTATTAATATCAAAAGTCCTTAATTTATATTCTGTTCCATCAAAAAAGTGTAAACTAATAATTGTCTGATTGAAGAACTGTTTTTTCCAAAAATCCAAGTTGTCTGTTAACACTCGTTTCATATACTGGGTAAAAAAAAAATTTCAGAAAAAGAATAAATATTTATCATCAGAAATGTCAATTTTTTAT